GATAGTCGAACCTCGGATTCAGGAGGAGCAGTGCGGTTTTCGTCCTGGTCGTGGAACACTGGACCAGCTCTACACTTTCAGCAGGGTCCTGGAGGGTGCGTGGGAGTTTGCCCAACCAGTCTACATGTGCTTTGTGGACTTGGAGAAGGTGTTTGACCGCGTCCCTCGGGAAACCCTGTGGGGGGTACTCTGGGAGTATGGGGTACCGAGCCCTTTGATACGAGCTGTTAGGTCCCTGTATGACCGGTGTCAGAGCCTGGTCCGCATTGCCGGCAGTAAGTAGGGCTTGTTCCCGGTGAGAGTTGGACTCCGCCAAGTTTGCCTTTGTCACCGATTCTGTTCATAACTTTTATGGACAGAATTTCTAGGCGCAGCCAAGGTGTTGATGGGATCCGTTTTGGTGGCCTTAGGATTGCGTCTCTGCTTTTTGCAGATGCTGTGGTCCTATTGGCTTCATCAGACTGTGATCTACAGCTTTTGCTGGAGCGGTTCGCAGCCGAGTGCGACACGGCCGGGATGAAGATCAGTTCCTCCAAAAATTCATTGCAGTGTAATAAAATGATTCATTAACTAATAACTCTGATACTGTTTTTATTTTGTCACAGTTTTCTCAATCAATTTATGAGGCAGCTGATCGTTTTAATTCTCTTGCAAATCCTGTCGCTTTTGGCACAGTTACCAAGTCAGCTTATTGTAAGTGACTTTGATGTTGCTTTTTCATAAATTAGCTTAGATATATATATAAAGTAGTTGTGATAGTCGTTTTATGGGTTTGTTTAGAAAGTTGCTTGCTAGATAATAATAATAATGAATTTAATTTGTAATGCACTTTTCATTAACAAAAATATCAAAGTGCTACAGAGTGCAACTAAAATCAATGATAAAATCAACTAAAATCTGTGATAAAATCAACTAAAATCAATGATACAATCATGTGGAGACAGAATAGGCTTGCTTAAAAAGAAAAGTATTTGTCTTTTTTAAAGTCAGTCAATGATTGTGGAGCTCTCATATATTCAGGGAGGGAGTTCCAGGGGCGGGGGGCAGCCACACAGAATGCCCAATCTCCCATGGTCCCTAATTTAGTTCATGGAAGGAGAAGGAGATGACTGTTCTGTGATTGTAGGGACCGGGTGGATGAAAATGGAGCAAAAAGGTCCTTCAGATAATCTGGTGGATTTCTGTTTAAACACTGATGGGTAATGAGAGCAACTTTGTACTGAATTCTGTAAGTGACAGGAAGCCAGTGGAGGTTATGGAGAATGGGTGTAATATGTTCAAATTTATGAGCTCTCAATAAGATCCTGGCTGCACTGTTTTGAATATATTGAAGCTTCTGAAGGTTTTTGTCGGGTATTCCAGTAAACAGGGAGTTGCAGTAGTTGAGCCTGGAGGAGACAAAGGCATGGACAAGTTTCTCTGCATCAGCAAAAGTGAGAGATGTGCGAAGTTTGGAGATATTTCGGAGATGGAAGAAACAGGTTTTAAACAGATGCTTAATGTGATTTTCAAGATGAGTCAATTTTTACTCTAAGATTTGTAACAGAGGGGGAGAGGGGGATGTCTTGTCCATAAAAGGAAACAGTCGTTATAGTTGATGTTTGAACCTGGTGAGGGGTGCCAATCAGTACGACCTCAGTTTTGGAGCAGTTTAACTCAAGAAAGTTCTGATTCATCCATGCCCTTATCTCATCCAAGCAGGTAGAGAGGGCAGTGAGTGAAGATGGAGATGACAATGGTGAAGATGATGCTCCAGTCCTGAAGTAAAGCAAAAAAATAAATAAAAATCCTTCAAGTCTGACAGGACTGGCTAGCTAACGGCTAGTTCAAATGCAGCCTTGACCGAAGTGGACTGCTGTCATCTGAAAAATAAGCTCTAATTATAAATATCCCATTACAATGCAGTGGCTGAGCCAGACAATTTTCATAGGGGTGGCCAGACTGGGACCAGTGCTCACACAGGGGAGGCCCAGAAAATGCCTTTTTTTTTTTTTCCCTATGTACCAAGTTGCTGTGGAGCTATAAGTGTTTCTTGGTCATTTGATTTACTTAAAACAGGCACTGCCATGTAAATTACATTACAAAGAACTACATACTCTCCTGAACATAATTTTAAAATAAATAAATAAACTGAATCAGATGTGAAATTCTTTTAATTGATGAAAAATCTGATAAGACATTTACAATTTAGAACACAAAACTATTGCAGAAGGCATTAACAGGCATGTGTTCTCATGTTGATTCTCAAACTAATTTACCAGTTTTATTTACAAATTACATAACAAAGATACAAAAGCTATTGTACTGTTGCTGCAATTTAAAGCAAACTGGTTTACAAATTAACCCAAATCCAGAGAAGTAGTGGTTTCAGACTCCACACTCAAAACTCCCAGCCTTCATCATCCATGGTAAAACTGCTCATAACTTATAACTTGTGTGCTGTTAACAGTTGAAATACGTTAATTTTACTCTATTTGTTTCAAATGCTAAACACACTACC